TCACGTGGCGTCGCAATGGCGCCGTACAGTGAAGCGATATTAGCGATTTAACGATGCTGGATGATGGGATCGAAATCAGGAGAGACGAACGGGCTAAGTTATAAAATCCGCAAGATCCATAGACATCATAAAGGCAGACAGATTAAGTTCAAATGACTCCGATCTCGATTTGATCGATTGAAAGGTCATAACCACAACATCTGTTGACGTTCGTGCAATCGTATGGTTGAAGTAAATGGCAAAATGACAGGCACAGCTGACGAGAATGCCACGAGGAAGGCGGAGATTGAGATCATGTCGTCGAGGAAACGACGCAACGATTGTCCACTCAAAACGCGTTCCAAGGTGTAACAATTAAATCTCTTTTAATAAATTCACGAAGCGATTGATAACAGTATAGTATTTTTTCTTTTTATATTTATTATATTCTCTTTGTGATTCTCAAGAACGTTGAGATTCATCGCGTTTTCTTGAAATGAAAGTAATTGGCCCAGAATTAATCATCTAGGTTTTTTGCATAATCAATCATCTGCGATGTTTTCCAAAAGTTATTAATTATGTAATACATATTACTAATCGTTCTACAAATTGTTAGTATAGATTTAGTTTAAATTCACAAAATTTTTGCATTTAAAACAAGATATATATTTTGGCAAAGGTAGAGAAAAAGCAAAAATTCTAAATGCAGAAAGTATAAGCAACACTAGTATTTGAGATCATTATGTATATAGATTTATTCAATATTTTCTAAAAAGTAAAGGAAAAAAAAGTATAGATTCTCAATCAGCAAAGAAAACTACTATAGATGAGCTTAATTATAAATAAGATGTATTTTCTTGCTTTTGAGATATAAAAATCAGGTGATTATTCCTTATAAGTTATGAGATACAAGAAAATATAATTTTTTTAAAACAAAAACTTAGATAACAGATGTGATAATAAAAGCATGAGCGCATGAAAATTGATTTTCAAAATTTTATTCTCGTATAAATATTTATTATTATTGATACATTTTATTGTCACTATAAAATGTGTATCTTTTGTACGTCTCCGAACAGTACTCGAATCTACAATCAGAAAATTATTGTAAATTGAGCAAAACAAAATTTTTTTAAGCAGCGTAATTTAACTTTGAAGATTAAACGTAGATTATTCAATACAGTAATAATACAGAGCAACGTGATAGTATAAGATTATGGATTATATAATTGTCATGTTAAGACACAAATTCCCGAAATAAATGCAGTCACGAGGCTGTAATATTGGTCAGTCACGACGCGTTTCATTATCGTGTGGTGAGCGTCGTAGCACGAAGTCGATTCCTGATTTATGTACGCGCGTTAATCCCCAACTCGAGAGATGTAGTGCTTCACCGAATCTTTATCATTAATATATCTATATTGAATATTGCAAACGAATTAGTACGTTATGAGTGAAATATAATGAGCTATTATATCATCTACTCTGTATATATATTCATTAAATATTGATAAATTAATAATGAAACTGTATGATAGTCTATATAAATAACCCGTAATACGATAATTAATAATTACGTAATATCTACTGATCATCAATTTAAAAAGAAATACGTTGATTAACGTTGATCTTTTTGTTTGCTAAGATAGCGATGCATAAAGTAACATCAGAAATATACACAGAAAATGATCAAATCTCTGAGGAGCTTGACAATGGCAGTAAGTTATGTTCAACGAATAATTGGACGATAAAAATAATGCTTAATGCACATCCTAACGTTCAACAATTGATTTCAGATGCGGTGACTGAATTCACTTTTAAATGCCCATCTTATATGATTGAGGCAGAATCCTCAGCCGAGACGCTAAATTATGACAGTGACGATGATCTAGATGTAGATAGAGACAAAGAAGGAGTAATTCTAATAGGTACAGAATTAATTATCGTGTATTCTCGTGTATATAAACATATTCAGTAAATTGTATTTACAGAGCATAGTGTATCTACAGAGCTCAATTTAGTCGGTTTACAAGTGTGGAGAGCCGCTCTCTTGTTAGCCGACTACATTCTGTCGCATCAGGACTTATTTAGAAATCAAATAATTTTAGAATTAGGATCTGGAGTTGGTCTGACCAGCATTGTAGCGAGTTACTTAGCTAAGGAAGTCATTTGCACCGGTAATGCAAATACTAGTTGAAACCTGTCTGTTGAAAACTTCAATCCTGTTTGTCCAAATATTCCAGATATCAACGTAGGTGATATATTAAATCTGATTGAACGGAATTTTCTGAGGAATTATACGTACATTAAATCGGGTTATCATATCGAGGAATTGAATTTTTTAAACTTAGAATGGCCGAAAAAGTTGGAGGAGAAATTGCAAAGCGCAAATATTGTATTGGCTGCGGACGGTAAACTTAATAATTGAATATTTCAACAATGTAAAATAGGTATAAGAAATGTGATAATCGTATTATATCTTTTTTTGGATTTATAGTGATATACGACGACAAAATCACGGATGGATTTGTCCGCACATTGATGAAACTTCTATATACGAAAAAGAAAAAGATAATTTATATTGCTCTCGAGAAAAGATATGTTTTCACTGTCGCCGATTTGGATACCATTGCTCCGATGTACGAAGAATTTTTACGTTGCGTCGAAAAGTACAAAATGAATTGGTCTGTAGATTACATTAATATAGATTTCCCGCGCTACTTCAAATATGATAGAGTCAAACATTTGGTTTTAATGAAGATACAGAACAATACAAGATCTGTTGCACATACATAACAAATAGTTTTTTCAATTAGATACGCAAATAATATATTACAATAACACGTAATATGTTATCGTAATTATAAAGTATATTTATGTCAATATTCTAAAAAGAAAGAGAGCTTGCCACATTAAAAACAAGATCTCTATAGACGTATATTTAACAAAATATAGTATCACAATTAATGTAAGTTGTAAAAAATAATTATATATTTAAAACAAGATTGTTTGATGAACATGTACGTTTGTCAATACATATACGAAACAATCAAACGGTAAAAATTTAGCATAATTTTTAAACATGATTTAATTTAAGCTAGGAAATTTCGAAATCAATTTCTTTTAATCCTTAGATCATTTTACATAACGAATAAGAAACGATAATCTAAGGATTAATAAAAGGAGAAACGTAGATATTCGGAGTGTGTGATAAAAATGACTATATAATATACATTTCTCACGTCCACATATTTATTTCGTCATTTAATTCCCTATTTACAACCTACCATGGATAATATTATTGGACAGTGAATTGGAAGTCGCTCGAAGAGAACGATAATTCCGTTGAACTTAAATGCTCCGGCGGCATGTCCTAAGATTAAAAAATTTCATTAGCCTACCTACAATATAAAGAAGACAGTATGTATAAAGGAATGTAAGCGCTTCTTCGAACGACCACGGCAGTAGAAGTTGTATATGTTACACGCAAAGTCATAACATTTCTAATATGATATACTAGAGGTCTGAATCGCTCGCGAATAAACGACGATCACTAAAAAATGAGTCGAATGATTAATCTCATTAATTATGATCGAACCGAGATGATTTCACAAAATTTAGGAATAACGATGAATAACTATAATTACTTCTTAAGTATCGTCGACCGTCGCTCTGCGAATTCAGGCCTACGCTTGGTTTGGTAAAAGGCACTTTCACTCTACCGATCCGTCTCGATGTAGAAAATGTAAAGTATAATTTACAGCCTCACAGATTTTTTTATACTTTTTTATGTACGTGTGTATGTCTGTGTGCATATATATTATGTATTATATACATAATTATTATATATACATACTTATATGTATATATATAATTGTTATATACATATATGTAATTATTTATAATTATTATATACATAATACTTAAAATATATAATTATATATATATATGCACACGCTTGAAATCTCAAAAATTGTCACACCATTTATACGTAGCATTTTTTCACCATTCAGCATATTCCCGAAAATGATTAAATTCAGGGCGATAAAAAGTTCATAAATTTCAGCTACGAGATCAATTCGCTTGTAAAGTATGCGCGTCGTTATATAAAAGAATAATTTATCAGATGTAGAAAGACGTTCCATGATGGCGAATTACCTCGCAAGCAGAATGTAGAACTAGAAATTTGTTTTCGTGCTTTACTCATATCAAAGTCATCAGAAATTAATTTTCAAAGCTTGACATTATTTGTTCTCTTCTTTTCTATTATAATGCAAAATTACGCGTGACAAAATTTTGCATTAATTCTGGAATAGCTGCTTCTGGATTACTATGAATTTTACAAATCAGTTGTGCAGATATACCAGATCTTATTGAAATATTACATAAAATAAAAGCTTTAAAAAAGGTGAAATAATTAAAAAACGCCACTGACTAGAAAAAAAGAAATGAAGAATAAGTATGATAAAATTAGCATGTTTGTATCGTGTTTTATTGTTCACGATCGGTATCATCGACACAGAGGCGAGCAGAATAAAATCGTTCATCTGATATCCTCTTTATCCTATTTATCTCTCTTCTCAATTTGTAATAATTATTCGCATTATTTTTAAATTAAATCTCAAAAATCGATCTAACAGCTAAAACAATAATTATCCGGTTTATTTAATAATGTCAATTGCATAATCTATATTACTTGCAACAAATACTGTACAAAAAAAGAAGATGCAATTTGCATTAAAAACGCGCGAAATCGATCTTACTACTATTGATAAGTAGCTACTGGAAGCTACCTCCGTTCGAGGACGGTTTCTGGCTAGCGGATGCGGCGATGCGGCTATTGTTGTTCGTCGCCAGTATCACGTCCAGGACCAATTTTCGCTGGTGGTATTCGATAGTACTAGCATTCTCGCCGGCTCGTATCGAATATCCGGCGCAGCAGGAACGCGTCATGCTGCTACTTCTTGTCACTTGCACTACAGTTTGTACTTTTGTCGATAGATCGTTTGACCGCCTGCTCGATGGCGTGCTTGTACTTTCTAATTGGACACACCGTTGGGCACAATCTTACTTACGATGCTCCGCGTCGGAGAGAATTGGACTCCCAGAGAATGAAGGGATGCACGCACCGACAACGGAATTCTGCATCGAACTATTGTGAATGACAGTCTTGCTCCTCGACAACGATAACGAATTCTGCGCTTACGTACTGACATTGTGCATATTATTATGCATTGTGTTCTTGACATTTTGCGAGTTGGGTGAGCCCAACGGCATGGAGGCGGTTGTCGTTTTTCGCCTGGCGTTCGACGAAGTACTCGAGGAACCGTCATTGCCGAAGTTGAGCTTAACTCCACTCGTAATACCGGCGGCTTTGGACCCGTCATGCACCAATTGCGTATGTGCACTCGTAGCCTTCCAATGCTCCACTTGAGCCTCGTGTGATTTTTGCAGCACCTTACGTACGTCCCCGTCTTCGCCGCCCTCCTTCATGATTTCTTGCAACTTCTGTATGGTCTGATATAATATCACCGGACTAATTAGCCCAAAATCAAACAGACTGCACATATGCAATACGAAGTTGCGATAGAGGTTTTTCATGAGCAACTCCTTCCCCTTATTCTCTAAGAACATTTGGCAAGCTAGTGGTATCTGGCAGTCTCCCACATATCCATGCTTCATCACATGCAGGTTCCACATCTTCATTAACTCTTTCTCGCCCTCGTTCACATCCGTAAAGTCATCAATCATCATCATTGTCTTTGTTTGCAACCACTTAGGGTCATTCTCACCCTCGGAATCGATATCCATCTCTTTAGGATATATAGGCAGGCAGGTCACAGTATGATGATACAGTCTAAAGGAACATGTTCCGTTTATAATGTGTAAAAGATTATTTATACCATAACTATCGTGACTGCTCATGATGCTTACCTATTGTGGCCGGTGATATAAGGCCTCTGACTTTCAAACTCATTCTCGTCAAGTTCCAGAAACTCGGACAGACTTGGTTTCGTTCTCTTCGGACGGCACACCAGGATATTCGTCACGCTCGTACGTCTGGTTGGTCCTGTCCTTGAAAAAGGTATACTAGACGGTTGTGAAATTAATTCATGAGGACTACCTGCATACGAACCATCATAGCATTCGTTTATTGCTACATCAATTCGGGCACCTTGTGGAATTGGCTGGAAGAGAAAACATTTACACTCAATTACTGTCACAGCATGGAGGACGAGTCTCTTTATTTTAACCGATCAAATCAATTGCTTATTTCTTTCCAAATGCATGGTTATCATATATATCAGTAACATCAATGAAAAGTATTGTAGCTGCAAAATCCTTCTGGAATATTAATATTAATTATATCTATCTTAGGTTTCCTTTAAAAAACATAGAAAATATATATTATAGATAGATGCATAAAAATGTTGTGGATTGGTTAGAAGTTGCAACTCTATATTGCGCCTAAGAAGTATCTATGTATTTATTAAAATATCTGATAAAGTAGTATTAAAAATGATACTTTCCTGGAAATATCTAAAAATATATGCATAATACTTTTCATTGATTTGCTGACATACCTCTCCCTTATTTCAAAAGTGACACAATTAAAAAAACGTAAGTTTCAAGTTGTTATCATGAATGAGTTAACATTGCGTTCTTATCAAAGGTAAACTAAATTAACTTCAAAAAAATTATCAAAATTGTCATAATTAAAAAAGGAAGTTAAAGAATTATAAAACAAATATGATAAAAATGACATTTGATCATGTTAAGAATATACTTTTTTTTTACTACACGCGGTATTATTATTATTTGATTAATCAATTATTTTCTATCAAGCTGAAAAATAGTTTCTCCCTATTTCTGAAAATTTAGTTTTTTAAGTTAAATTACTCTTGAAATAAAAGAGCGATATGTATAAACTGTGTGCGTAAATGTATAAATTATACAGATAAATAATGTAAAAATGTGATGCGTACTTACCACGTATGTGAATGTGAATCGTGAATGACACAATTTCAAGTGCTTTAGAAGCGAGTACAGTTTGCCGCAATCCAACGAGCACCAGGGGCAGTGTAGGTCTTCGCAGGCCTCCGTTTGCTGCCGGCTGTTATTGTTGTACAAAAATTGATAGACTATCTGCTGAGTTCCGTTAGTATTAGTGTCCACCTTCTCGTTGGAGATGCTCATTCTCGACGAGGGCGTTAGCGGACTAGGCGTTGGCAGTGTCGCGTTATTATTATTATTATTATTTGTGCTATTATTATTGTGATTTACGGAAGAGGAACGTTCAAAACCAGCTGAAAAGATAACGTTAAACATTTAAAGCGACGTTTTTTTGTGATTCAGTGCATATGTTGCAGTAGTTTCATTCGTAAAATAACTATAGAGAACTGACCGTTGGCCGACCGATTCTCTTTATTGTCACCGCTCGGTATTTGAGGTATCGGCATCGGTCTATCCACCAGACCGTTGCTCGGTTCCGTCGTCCAACTGAGCCGAAACTTTAACGTCGGTCCTTGCCTGAACATATCGAACGGTTCGCAGTCTTTGATGTCGGCCACAGTTTCCCAAGAGCTGTGTTTCTTAGGACTGGACCTAACATTGGTCTGTACTTCCTGCAAACCTAACTCATACTCGCCGTCCGTCAGCAGGCATCGATTGTGCTTATCATACACAGTAAGTTCCGAACCATATTGTTTCACTTCTTCGCCATTGATCTTTATCATACCCGTTGACGATTTACGACGCTTTTGAGCTGGTTCTGCAAGACACGGTTTGTAATATTCTGCGAGTTAATTGTGCTGACTCTCACTCTTACCTTCTAAATCACAGTTAGTTATAAGGCAGCCATTGTTAGACATGCAGTAAACCCTGAGCAAAAGCATATAAGTCTTTGCTATGTGACCATTATTTAAGCAGAAAGATTCATTGGGTATGGAAATCGTGGATGCCTTCGGTGGAGGTTGACTCTCGGAAGGATTGATTGGGACCTCGCTTGTACCAACTGAAACCTAAACAAATGCCATATCTTAATCAAGAGCCGATCCAACGGAAAATCTGACTAGATCAGTGTTTTAAACTGTAAATTTTAAATCTGATGGATACCAAACTTACTTGCATGACAGGTGAGCTAACGTCTTTTCTTTTCTTGTGGCAAATTTTCAACAACAATGTTTCCACTTTGACAGGATCCTGTGATACTTCAGCTACAATTATACATCACAATCTTAAATAAAAGCTTTTCAGATAAATACAAGAAAAAAAGGTTGCATAATCGAGACTTACCTCTTTTGTCATAAAATCCTAAAAACGTAAGAGTCATGTATCCGCGAACACCGAGATTCTGTTCATGCTTCTTTTTCGCTATTAATTTGTCCAGAATCATATCGACCTTAAATCCTCGCCGTGACTTGTGACTTCTGGACATACGTTGCCGCATATACGTTAAGTTTCGATATAGAAATATTGGCTAAAAAGAAACGTTAAATTTTAATGTACATCCATCGCCCAGGGAAAATTGGTAGTTTATGCTCCTCAAATAATTTGAATTTTTATAATATAACTTAAATTTAAATTTTATACCTACCATGCTACACAAATTTTACATACAGAAATTTTGAAAAGCGTATGAAAGTATGAATTACGATTGAGGCAATATAATCAACCTAAAGGAACATTTATTAACTTACCTTTAACAAATGCTTCATATCGTTACGACTATTTACATTCGTATATATCGTTACGTTTTTTTTTTTTTTTTTTTTAAAAATTTTTTATTTTTTAGAAACTTTTGATACACCATATTTTTAAAATTATACACATGTATAACAAAAAAACGGACAAAATATAATTAACGCTTTGAGGGCAACGCAAATTAAAATTATAAACAAACCGAGGATGAAAAGAAAATATTATTTACTCACTGAAATTTGATTTCTTGTGCGAAGGAACCGGTAAATCTGTGTTGGTTCTGAAAAAAATGAAACATAAAAGTTACATATTGTAAAGTTAAATTATTAAGACGTTAAATTAATATTTATTAACCAATAAGTTAAAAATAATAGTTACATAATATGTAAAGTTACAATCCAGTACGTAAATTTATTTATTATTATGATAGAAAACATTCTAAACGATCAATTTTTCTTCAATAATTTTTACAATAATGTGCACTATTTTTATATATGTAAAAAAATGTACAAAAATAGCTTTTGTAATATAAACGAGTTAAACATGTTATTTACAATTAAATTAATTTTTTAACTTTATTATACATTTGGATTTTGATAAAATATTAAAATAACTCGAATAACAGACAAAAAGGAAACATAATTGACAACTATAATTATAAATATAAATCATAAAAAATAATTAAAATTATAAAATAATTTACTCATATCGCGAATTAATGTCTACTTTCTTAATTTTGCAAAAATTAAGAAAGTATAATCTTGCTATGTAACTTAACAGTTTTACATTTGTTTTTGCCAGAAGTGAAATCTTATTTATGGCCATATATGTTAATACGGAATGGACTCCCTAGATGGCCTTCAGAGCGATTTATTTCTCGCGTTTAAAATACATCTCGTAGGATTTAAAAGCAGCTCCGACCAAGGCAGAAGACGATCCTTCAATCAGGTATCAAAATGGGATATGATGAATGGGTTTACTCAAATTTGTTTGAGACGCCTGCACCCTACTTGTTGTTACGACCCAAGCAGGTTAAACCTCTCTGATCCCACATTTTTTTTTCATCTTCATAAAGTTAACAGCTTGGAACTCGGAAATTTCTCACGTTGCTCATAAAAACAAAGAAACATTTAGCCGTACGCATTTTATTTAGGAAAAAAAGTTTAGACTTCGCCTTGCGAAGTTGTTTCTCTTGTGACTGAGCTCAGTCGTGCTGATTTTGGGTTCTTCAAATTGGATATTCGGATTCACTGAAGATTTTTTTTATTAATTCCTTAAATCCCGAGAAGGTTGTTTACTGGTTCAATTTAGTCACGATATCGTGACCTGCCTAAGCAAGTCGGAAATTCGAAAGAAGAAAAATTAAAAGAAAAAAAATTACAATAAGATATTTAATTCGCGTCGAGCAGTCTGACTTTGTCTGATTCTCCGTAAATCGCGTAAAAAGAATCTCATCATTTTCTTTCCTTCGCGTACATTTTCCGCGGGCATTTAGCATACGTCCAAGGATGTTCCTCCGGAATACTTCGGAGGAGGGAATCGAGAATCGCTCGGTCTGTTTCGCAACAGCAAGTGAGGCACGGATGACAGGTGTCCGCGCGTTTTGGAAGCGGTGGAGGGCGCGGAGAGAGCGAACCGACGCTCGCCACGATGCGGCGGGCGCTGCTCCAGTTGACTCGCGACGGATAGGGTTAGGTCCGGTCGCGGCGACGGCGACAGCGGCAACGAGATAACGGTGGCAGAGGAGAAGGAGGGCGTCGCGCGCCCTCCGCGACAGGGGTCGTCTGAGGAGGTATCGATGTGGGGGTGACCGGCAGAAAAAGTCGCAGACCTTTTATCGCGACGGAGCGACGCGCGCCACCGATAGGCGGCAAAGAGGTAAGGGCCCACACGGGGCGAAAGACCGCGATATGTGTTTTTTTTTTTCGCTTACTTTCGAAGGCCTGTAGAAAGAGCTCGTGGTCGGCCTGGATCTGGTCCATACGAGGTCCCTTCTGCCCATCGAGATCCTTTTCCCGCTTCTTCGGCGGCATTTTCGCGCGGTCCTCCGTACACGACAAGCTTCCCCCCGCGGTAACTCCAACTTCTCTCTCTTGGTCGCGCGAAAGTTGCGACGCGACAACGACAACACCCGCCCCGCGCGAAAACTGCGGCGCTCCGGCAGCCACCACAGCGACTGGCGCGTCCTCTCGCGGCGCGCCATGTATCTCGTAAACGCATCATCGTGAAGTTGGTGGCGCTGAGACGGATGGACTTTGCACGGTACTCGAGAAAACTCGCGACTCTGGCTGAATCGTGAATCGTCGAAGACAACGCATTGCTTTTTCCTCTTTTGCTCCTGCACTTGAGCCTAAGGCCCTGCACACAATAGAGGAAATATTAGAAACAGGAATAGATATTAAGATTTTAACCTATCAGATACCAGTTACACCGGAATACACGGTTTCTGATAGGTTGAAATCTTAATATCTATTCCTGTTCCTAATATTTCCTTCATTGTGCGCAGGACCTAATGCTTATTCTATGGCCAGTATTCATAGTCGGTTCTTATTTTAAGACCGTCTTAGGCCGGAATCAGACTAGGCATTGAAGATTGAGATTGAAGATTGAAATTTGACCAATAAGGACAAAGAAATTTTAGCTCCTTTCGTTTCGATTGGTTAAATTTCAATCTTTCAATCTTCAATCTCAATCTTCAATGCCTAGTCTGATTCCGGCCTTAAGTAGTGTCTTAAGACGCTAATGCGGCCCTCTGATTGGTTCGTGACATCTCAAGACTGAACTTGAGATGGTCTTGAATATAATGCCTAATTCACACTGGACGCAGCAAGCGTTAAGTAGCTTACAAATATATATTTGTTTCACTTCAACTTAAAGTATGCACCAGTTCAGACAGTGCAGGAATAAAGCCTTACCCCGGATCTACAATAGGGTTTTAAGCCTTAAGTCATAAGAAATGGACGAATCACAATCGATTATTCAGAGATGGTCTTGAATATAATGCCTAATTCACACTGGACGCAGCAAGCGTTAAGTAGCTTACAAATATATATTTGTTTCACTTCAACTTAAAGTATGCACCAGTTCAGACAGTGCAGGAATAAAGCCTTACCCCGGATCTACAATAGGGTTTTAAGCCTTAAGTCATAAGAAATGGACGAATCACAATCGATTATTCCCCTCGGATTCGACTGTAATTGATCAGTTTCTTACGGCTTAAGTCTTAAAACATCTATTGTAGATCTAGACTAAAACACAATTGCTGGATTCACACTGCATCCGATTTTCGTAGTACGACGCTCAGCAACCAATCAGAAAACAGGATTCCGAGTAAATTTTGCTTCGTATTATCGGAATCCTGTTTTCTGATTGG